TGAAATATCGCGATATTTCAGTGCATCGATATTTTCTTACACCCCTATTGAATATATCCGATTTGAGGTCGGAGCGGTCCCGACGTCCTTCCGAGCCGACTAGATCACTCTTAACTCACCACCCACGGCAGGAATATCTGCTCAGATTATCTTTAGAACCATCATGATAATCTGGACTTCCTTAAGATCGTTGGAAGGGCAAAAATCAGGCTGATTTTCTTGTAGTGTGACGCCGGCCTAAGTTGTGGAGGTAAGTTCACTCAGGATAATGGCTATCTGGCTTTCTGAAACTGAAAACCCAGGATATGCACATAGTTACCCCAGAACTTAGGATATTTACCTATCCCTCTTTCTAAAACAGGGCTCTGGTGGACCAAATTAAATTGTTTGACAGGCCAATTTTGGCCCATGGGCCACACTTTGGACACCTCTGGTCACGTTTGGGCACACATAAAGAACCACACAACATAAAGAACCACAGAACATAAAGAAGCACAGAATAATTCATTGTTGTCTGCAGCTCACAATTTCATACAGCGCCTGGAGGGTTTCCATGTCCACAACGTTGTCGTCCAAGTTCAAGATGGCTAACAAGAGAGAAAGAGGATACCAATTACCAATTGCTTTTGTTAATGATTTCAACTTGCTTTTACACTTAATTCTAAAGGTAGGAGGAAATTTAAGAAATTTTCAGTACTTAAGTCTAAAAATCCACTCAAAGAATTTTGATAAATACAGGCACAGGGCAAACCACTGAAGTGGTTCAGATCCAGTGGTGGTTGCTGGTTTTTCAACAAGAGGAAGCTCAGTTTCGGCCTACATAATAAATCGTGTCGGTTTATAAATTCTCTGTTCCTTCTCAAGAAAATAAACTGTGACTCTGTCACAGACCATTTTTTTAGTTTATAGTATTTATTCATTTCGTTTTTAAAAACAAAACATTACATACAACAAAACAATACAGATAAAATAAAATGAAAGGCAGCAGAAGATGAAAAAGATCTTATGATACAGTATCTGCTCCTATTTACAAAAAATATTAATTTCAAACAATAAACCAAATAATAAAAACAAAGAAATTCAACTCCTCAAACAGTGCAAATACAAATTAAACAATTTCATATTTCTTTAACAATTTTGCTTTGATAGTTTTTTTAAAGAAATTAATTGATCCAATGCTTTTATAATCATTTTCCAGATTATTCTATAGTCTTTTACAGCAGCCAGCTAACTTTGTCTTTCTGTTTTTATTTACTGCTTAGCTCCAGAATTTTTTTATTGGTATGTCGACTGTTGTTAGTTGTATCCATCCATCCATTATCTATACCTGTTTCTTCCTTTCATGGTCACTGTTGCCCATATCCAGCAGTCACAGTGTGAGGGGCGGGGTACACCCTGGACAGGTCTCCAGTCCATCACAGGGACACAGAGACAAATGAGACAGACAACCATTCACTCTCTCACTCACACCTAGGGACAATTTAGAGTTATCAATTAACCCAACAGTCATGTTTTTGGTCTGTGGGAGGAAGCCAGAGTGCCCAGAGAGAACCCACGCATGCACGGAGAGAATTTGAAAACTCCACCCAGAAAGGCCAGGATTTGATCCGGCAACCTTCTTGCTGAGAGGAATCAGCTCTACCAACAGAGCCATTATACCACTTGTTATGGCTGGATGGATGGATGGATAGATGTTAGTTGTATGTTCCTCTAAAATGAATTTGACATATTTTCTAAGAAAAACAATGGCTTAAATGGTTTAGGAACCCAAAGGCCTGTATGGTTCAGAATGTTTTGTTCATAAATGAGAAGAATTCTGTTGATCTAGATTTCTTGGCCCAATATATTAACTAACCATCATGAACTTGAGTGTCAAATTGAACGCTGATCTTAAGCTTGATAATCAAATTAGACGAGTGATTAAGTCAAGCTTTTTCCATTTGAAACAAAGCAATTTTTACAGAAAGCACTTTGAGACAGTAATCCAAGCCTTCACAACACTCGGCTGGATTACTGCAATGCACTTTACATTAGAGCTGTTGCTTGATCTTTTACACATTGCGCATGGTTCAAAATGCTGGTGCACATCTTTTAAATTGAACAGGAAACAACATAACTTTTTCTCCTCGATTTTAGCCTCACTGCACTGGCTACCTGTATATTTTAGGATTCTTGCTAAAACTTATTTGTTTTTTAAAGCCTGAAATGATAATGCCCTGCCAGAACTTATTGAGTTACTAAACTCTTACACAGACACACAAAGGTTTGTTTTTATATCCCCATGGGGACTGTGGATTAATTTCTGTTCATTTTCTTGTAATTTAATAGCCTAACCCTGACCATTTACCGTAGAATTAACCTCACAGGTACCTGATCATAAAATTAGCCTAAACTCAATTCACACCTTGGTCCTAAACCTAACCCCCACCCAAAATTAGCACGCAGTGGGGAAATAAGTCTTTGATTCCTTGCTGATTTGGTAAGTTTGCCCACTTACAAAGCCATGAACAGTCTATAATTTTAAGGGTGTGTTAATTTTATCACTGAGTTAGACTATAAAAAAAATCAGAAAATTACATTGTATAAATTATATAATTTTATTTGCATTTTTACTGTAATCCATAACAGTTGTACTAGCTCATACTGTAACTAATAAGGTCACAACAGTCAAATGTCATTATGGAGTTGACTAAACTGTAAAGTTTTGAGCTCTGTTGAGATTTATGCCACTTAAACTGAATAGGGCTCAATATTTTATAGCATTTGTGTGGAACGCTCAAAAGGTTTAGAAACTAAACAATAGATAACGTCATGACGTTCTGTTGGGTGGGTCTTATCTCTCCCTCAGGTAAGATGAGTCAGCCGTTTTGAATTTGCCTTTATACGGAGAAGTTTTGGCCAGCCTGCACTGAAAAAACAAACTTTTGGGTGTAGTAACATTTATTTAATTTTTCTTTTAAATTTGACAAAAAAATATCAAAATCTCTGAACTACTAGAATTTACTAAATAAACAATATGCATTATGTTATATGTCAATATTACTGTCCAAAAAAAGTAAATGCTAATATTATTTTACCAGTAATATTTGAGTGCCTTTTCTGTACAGCACATAAACATGAATATATTAAGTAACTTCTACTGTTCTGGGCTAAAACTGAGGGTGCATGCACACACAAAGGCTGCTGCTCCTCATTCCCTTGCTTCACTTTTCAAGGAGAGGACAAGACATGGTGGAAATAAAAAAAGTTGCTTGAATACATTTGTTGGTGTGCAATAGTTTGATGGCATAATGTAGGTGATATTTAGTTGTCAGGGGACAGGGAATGCAT